ACACACACACACACAAACTCCGGTCAAAGCCGCTGCTTGGGACCATTCACCGTACTCCATGGTGTTTGACGGTGACTCAGTGCGTTTGACGTTGAGAAGTTGAGACGAATTCCAGTAAACTCACACAATTGCTACACATCCTCTTTTCGCACTCCCACAGGCGAACCACTGGGAGACTGCCCAAATAACTCTGCCGCTCCCATCCAGAAACCTGTCGTTTTTTTAAAGCAGTTCACTACTCTTTCAAAGCCAAATCGGGACTGGATTCTGTTCCCTAAATGGGTGCCCCACTGTCATCCACCGGTGCCCTCCACCTCCAACCGACCGTGGTTCTCGTCTCGCCTGTGACGTTGCCCACCGAGGCATCAGCGGTGGGGTCCTGCACACCGGTTCCCGCGGCCGTTTTTTTTGGATCAGAACTGGCCGAAACATGAAGGAAGCATCACGCCATTCATCAATTCTGCTGGAAATCTCTCTTGACATCGCATTTCTTTACACGCCCCCAAGAATAGGGCATCTTCTTGACATCGCAAAGCGGTGAAACACACCGACATAAAACCAGTAGCATAGGAGACTAGCACTGAACCACACCTCTCGTGGTTAAGGTAACCAGGTCGTGGTTAAGGCAACTATGTCGTGGTTAAATGTCAGTATCATAGCAGTGCCCCTTGCTGTTGATGTCAATGCGTGAGACAAACATCACAGCCGCGGCAGTCCGTCACAGCCGCTGTCCGCGAGGCAAAGGTGTCCTGGGGAAGGGAACAGTGGAGCGAGTGTGGAGGTGAGTGTGGAGGGAACAGTTAGATCAACGTGTTATGTAAAGAACCAATATTGAAACCTGGGATTGAGTGTCTTTAGCGTGTGTAATAGAATGTTAATAGATGGTGTGTTGTCTTTGGAATCCTGGAACCATGGGTGACCCATGGAATTCTTCACTTCACGCGCCCTCGTTGCCTTTTCCATCCCACCCCTCCACTTCACGCTCAGTTCTTTCGCTCCGATTGATTTCAGTCCCAAACGCACCGGTAACTCGCCCGGGTTCCGAGACCCACATGGAACCTGAGTTCACCACGGTCGGGTTGGTGTTCGGAACATCGTCTTCCTTGCAGGGGCATGCCATCAGGTTCCATGTGGACATTTTCCAGGTGTAAAACCCCACAGATCCCGATCCCCCGCGGAACGTTTTGCTCTGACCGAGGCACTGGGAGGGACGTGCCCAGGGCCACTAAGGTGATCGCCGTGATGGCGCTGCCGATCTCCAGCACGCACCTGGGTCTGAAGAGGAGACCAACTGAGGGAGAGGCCGATGTTCATCTCGGGTCTGAGGAGATGCTGATCTGATCTGACGCATCGTGCGATGGGTTTCAGCCAGAAGGGAGGGAGCAAAGCTGCGATAGGTTTGAGGATGTTGAGGCCAAGTGTTCTGATATGTTCTGTGATGTTCTTGGTTTTGGACAGTGAGCTACTGGCTTAGATTAAAGCTTCTGTGGTGATCCGTTTGTGAGTGGGTTTGGGCCTCAAGCTTTGGGCTCCGTCAAGGTTGGGGAAACACCTTGCTCCTATGTGCGGGTTTCTGCTTGCAAGGGCTCTGGTGGTTCAGTCGCTGTGATTTTAAGGATCGAGACCATCGCGCAACGAGCCCTTCCTTTGAAACAATCATCAAGGTCCAATGAGCTCTCATCCAACAGTTCAGCATTCGTGCTCAGCAGTGCGCATGCAATGATAGAAAAGGGGGACAGAAGTGCGGAAATCAGGTGCATCTTCATTGCGGCAACCAGTGCCTTTTGGGATGATTGCACCAGCTAGACCGCTAAACCTTGAATCGCCACTTTAGGGCAGTTCAGAGTAGGATTGAAGCGTAGCATTGACTTGTAGGGAAGTGATCGAAGTGATGAGGCTGTTTGGAAATCGCACTTTTGCGCAAGGGATGAACCTTCCGAATACAGAATAAAAAACACTAAACACTAAAGTGACTTCTATTGGGGTTGTCGTGCCACCAGAAACCAAGCGTACCTGGTTCGGCCACTTTCCATTGATCAAAGCTTTCATTTGGACTTGGTGGGGTGCGGCTATATCCAATTCATTCGATGCCAAAAATCGGAAAACAAACAACATCACATCCACCCTGTGGGGGTGGTGCACAGTGCTTTGAGATCTCTTAAAACCCCACAGGGAGTCCCATCACCAGTATCTCATCAGTATCTACAGCAAAACGACCCTCAAACGACCCTCAAACGACCCTCAAACCAGGAGCACGGGTCTCTGAGCAGGTCTCTCCTGCCGCCCAGCTGCCCCAGCAGGGCGGCCGAATCCCCAACCACCGCGGTGAGCGCACCTGGGGTGAAGCGATGTCTGGTCTGAAGGGATATTCGGGAGGATGAAAGTGCTGAAAGTGAGAGGATTGAGATATGGATTGAGATGGATTGAGGGGATCAGTGATGGGTGGGGACCGTGGTCCTTTCATCACATCTGAATTTCACAAAAAAAACTGTAGCCTTAACAAAGCCTGCTTGGACATTTGCTATACAAACTGGGTATAGAGCCCTGATGGCCAACGCAAGACCTCCAACAGGTACAAAGCCACAATATTGTAATACGTTGCGCCCTGTCGGCTCTGTCGACAATCTAAGACCTTAACGAGAAGGGAAAGCTTTGCTTCAAGCCTTGGGCTCGTGCATCTCCTTCAAAGATTGGTGTATTGAATACAATCTGGGATGGTTTGATTCATGCTTTTGTGATTCATTCGAGTTACGAGTAGAGAGTTAGCTTTAATCCAAGTCATTGTATTTTCATCGGAAGACCACACTTTGGGCGGTCACACAACCACAGAGGGCGGTTCGCGGTGAGCGGCTTCGCGCGGTGTTCGTGTCCGGCGCACCGTCTGGTTCCGGCTCGGAGGCTGAGGGGTGCGTAAATGAAGCCCAAAGAAACAGTCCAATTGAAGGGAATCGCCTTGATGGCCATTTTCCAGGCTTAGATTAGACCAAGCAACCCTTAAAGGTCCAAATCTTTTGCGGCATTTGGAGAGGAGAAGCCGCTCATCATTGACTCGTCTGAGTTTACCCGCCAAAATCGCGGAGTGTCTGGCGTATCCACACACGGATGAGACGCTTGCGTTGGGGGTGAAATTGAGCATCCTCAATCATCGTGAACAGCAACATGTGGGTCATCAGCCATCAAATCACCATACTTGTTGGACTCAGAAGAGTCTGGCAAATTCTTCATCCCGGTGCTCCACTGTTTAGCGCTGAACAAGTGCCAAGCTGCTTGCCAGATTTTACCAGTAGTATACTAAGAAAAGACAACGAATCCAACACTCGATCCTGTTTAAGTCTCTCCGTGCGTTCACCCAGCACTCCAGATACTTCTGCTTTGTCTCTTGGAGACCGGTCCGTTTCAAGGTCTCGATTTGTGCATCTCACGATCCCCAGGATGGATGGATGGAACTTTTCGATCCTTCGCAGAAGGCACCCCCGATCCGCCCCGACGGTCTTCGACCGAACGAAGAAGGCGGGAAACCGGGCGTCCGGGCCGATGCCCATCAACGATCCGACGAAACAGACCCAGCCGTCGCAGAAACCCGGCGGAGGGATGATCCTGCAGACATGGCGTGGCGTGATCCGTGATCCGTGATCCGGATGTGTTCCGGGACAGGCCGGAGGGTCGGGGGAGAGAGAAGGATCTTGGTCAAGAGGGATTTGTTTTTGGGGAGAAGTGAAGACAATACAGATCTGTTTGTACTGTTTGATGCTTCTTTCGGCGGATCAACATACTGCCCATTTTTGGTCTAAGTCTGGTCTCCAAGATCAGTTTTGTTAGGAATCGTCGACACCGGGGTTTTAGAGTTATTGGTTTATGGTGCAATGGATGCATACAAGTTTTTCAGTCAGTGTGGCTGAAGGTCAAATCGACAAACGATCCAACCAAAGGAGGGCTGGAAAGTAAGCGACCAGTGATGGATATGTGGCCCAAAAAACAGTAAGGCGGCAGTTTCTGCCCAATGATGTTGGTTGAATTGTCCGAACAGGGCGGCACTGGGTGGCACCCTATCTTACCATCGCACCATCAGCTTCTCAGCAAAACCAAGCAAAACCGTTCAAAGGCACGGTGCTGTGTGGGTCACCGGACTGTTCTTGAGTCGGTAGGGGATGCGAATCCAGTTCACTATCAAGCGACTCTCAAAGTGCTGCGATGAGCATGTACGGGCCGGAAAGGGCCAACAGGGCCTAGTTGTGTGACCCTGTCAAGCTCGAGGCTGTTTATCCGTTGCAAGAGGAATCCACATGCTTGTTCATACTTTTGCGAGGCCAAGGGAGAACATCAAAATACCTTCAATTTGTACATCAAATGCCTTTCTCCAAGTTCACCCACGTGACGGATTTCAAGGATACAGGCCCACCTGAAAACAAAATAAAAAAACAATCTCCCATCTAAATCTTAATTATCTAGCAAGTTTTTTCAATCTTGGAGTTACACGGTTGTATCTGTATCTTGTTTAGGTGTCCAACATGGATACTGTTGAATTGTTCTTTTTCATCTGGACGCTTCACACACGCACAACATGTCGCAAAAGCCAGCACACTCTGACGGGCCGGACGAGAAAATGATCTTCCAGGGAACAACTAAGACCTCGACCGACCGACGATGTGCACGTCCCGGCACGCTGGGATGGGATGACTACACCAGGTTGATCCATCTTGCCAGGATCATATTTGGTTCCCAAGTGGGAAACAAAGAGGACAAAAGCACAGACAAACATCAGGAAGCAAAAGAGCGAAAGCGTTTACCCATCCTCAACACAGCCGCATTCAACACAGCTTGACCCGCTCATTGGACCCAAAATCTGGCAAATCGGCAAGAAAACCACATGAAAAACAATCCACTTTGGCCATCATGACTCCCCGCCAAAACAATTATGGAGTAACAAATCACAATCTTAAACAATGAGGGCACAAAACTCAGTCCTGAATCCTACAGAATCAGAACGTCTGGGTTCCAGTCTCAAGTTGTCTGCCAGAGTTTGCAGGCGTTTACATCCAGTCATCCAACAATTCTCAAATGCCACAAAATTGTCTTTGAAGAATCAAAACCTCTTGGCCCCTCTAAAGGAATCGACCCTCAGGTTGGGCGGGATGCAGTCGGAATTAAAACCATCTGGCAACCTGGCTTTCTACCAAATTCTGTTCTGAATGACAACGCGGGAATTCGTTCCGGTATCCAAAAAGCAAGGAAAAGGACAACTATGACAATGAGGAGGACGGTGAGGAGAAACATGTGTCTGGAATTCAGGCCATAATAGACAACTGCACTTCTAAACTGTTGGGTGTCTGTTGGACACCCGTGTGCACTGGTCTCAATAGAACTTCAATGTCGTTGGAAAACGACATCAGGCTAGTGGGTTTTGTCCACACGTGACCTTTCCAGGATGCTGGTGACCTTTCCAGTCGAGTGAGACAACAAGAAGCACATCTCTACAAGGCCTCTGAGGCTCCTGAGGCTCAGACCCCCAGAATGTTTACACGCTAAATAGATGCTGGTAGACACCAGCCACTGTAGGGCTCTTACTTGAGAAGTCACTCAAATCAACAGTGAAGCACCTTGAAACCTTAGTACATATGGATCGCCCCGGGTTTCTCATCCAAAGTAACTCAATGTTGTTTCCCAACCTAGACACGGATTGTTTCATAGTAAATGCTCATACGCTTGATCCATTTCTGGATCGCAGCACTCCGCCGTCGCGACGTTCAAACCGGTCGCGACGGAACCCGTCTGGGTTCGCCCCCACGGCAGTCGTGGCCATCGAGAGGTAGTCCAAGCATCCACCCCTGCGGTGCCGCGTGGGTGCCGCGTAGTCTTGCCCCGCTCGTAGCTTCTTGTTCCTAGTAGTAAGGCCAGGAGCTACGTTCGTAGCGTCCTTGCTCCTAGTAGCGATGCCAGGAGCCCCTGGTAGAGAACCTTGTTCTTGTGAACTTGTGATGGTTCTTTCTGGGCTATGACAGCGGCTATGAAATGGCAAATACATTTAACTTGGGCAGCGTATGGTTTTGGTGGCTCAACCTGCTGAGATGGGTGAGGCTCAACCAGCTCCATGGAAGTAAGCCTTGATCGGAATAGAGTTTAGTTACACAGTTATTTAATTTAGTTTTCATATGTTTTCATCCACAGCCAACAGTCAAGCTACCCGTGTACTCTGAAAACTATCATTTCATCAAAGAAATTGCAGCACACCGAACAGGTTTTCATCTGGAAACAGGTCACTGTCAAACCTACTGGTGGTGAAAGGTTCGCAGCCTTGAACGGGGATGGACAGGGAAACATTAATCTCAAATTCACTTCTCAGCTCAATGATGTCCTTTCGGAAATAATATAGAATATATAATTACTAATTAGAGGATTCGATTTGGTACCATATATACATCCATAATCATCCATCTACCTATATTGTTTTGTTTTCTCCCACTTGGGGGCCCTCCCCCTCCATGGTCAACTGACCAAGGCCTTCGTCAAAGGCCATCTATGCTTCCCCGTGCTCGGCCAGCCGCCGAGTTCCAGGTTGAGGGTGGAAGTCTGGATCATGCTGCCCCGCAAAACATCCACTCACTTGATGGGTCTGCAAGCACCCTGGCCTTGGAACTTTTGGCCTTGCACCTTTCACGGAACAGTACTTCTTGACCGAACTTCGCTCTACTTAAGCAGAAGTGGCTGGGTGAAGCCTCGAGCAGAACGTTTGTCCCGGTGTCCACCCGGCGACCCCCTGCCGAACCCCCTCGCCTCTCTTCTTCATCATCATCCTGTTCGTCATCCTAAAGCACCGGGAGGAGTGCCGGTGTCGGAGATTTTCACTCGAGGAGAGACGGTCTCTCTTCAGGTGAAATGCAGAACAAAAGATCACAAAGATCACCTGGTGAAAAAGAACACATCACACCTGGTGAGACGGTCTCTCTTTCGCGTTCAGGTGAAAAAAAACATTATTGTCTGCAGGTCCCCAAGTACCGCACAGGCAAGCAATTGCAGTGCCTGCCTGCTTCATTCTTTCAGGGCGAGACGACAGTGATGATTCATGACATGGTGTTGGGTAAACTAGATCGACCTCAAAAGGAAACCATTCGATTTTGCTATTCACCTTGCGATTGGTTAAATGAAGGGGGACCACGCATGCTGACACTCCTAGGCACACAAATCACTTTTGGATGAACCCTAATGAAACGACTGTGCTCTGCCTCGGCCAGGCCAGCAGTCTGCTGGCAACCTTGTGGTGTTTCTTCTGCTGGGAGTGATCTTTTTAGATCCCAGTCTGTACGACAGGGAATAAGGCAGGAACACTGAACAGTATAACATTCACCAGCAACACACACGGTCTCCGATGGTCTCCGTGAAAATATTATCCTATACGAACAGTTGCATTTTTAAGGCCCAAACATTTTTGTTAAATCCTTGTGTTATTGATTACTTGAGACCAATAACAAAAAAGGTCAACGAGAGCATTTCCGGGGAACTTCCCAACCCGGATATTATATCTATCTGTGCAACATAGAGGAAAACATGTTTTAAAATGTTAAAATGGTTTTTCTTCACTCTTCTAGGCATCTTTCTTCTTCGAGCAAAATGTTTTGTGCGCAACTGCCTTTTTTTAGGCGCTAAACACAAATGTTTCAAGCACTGGGACGGATGGATATTGAGAGCGACTAAAAAACAAACAACATCAAGCATTCCACCGCAATGGGCCAACAGAAGCCAACAGCCGCGAAAACAATTGTGTTTTTCCAAAGAAGGAGTGGCAAGGCTCAGAGAGCAAAAGTTGGATCAGGTTGGCCGGGAAACCAGTTGTAAGTTCATGCGAATTGGAGAAATGATGATCTGCTCAGTTCATTTATTTGAAATGGCAGCATGACTGCGCGCCAACCTTTTGAAAGAGCTCCCTGGAAGTGCGTTCAATAAATCCGACTAGCTTGGGGCGTTCAGCATCTACGGGATGGTGCACTGATAAAGCCAAATATAACAATGTACGTGTTGCTCATGAACTCCTTTTGTTGTTGCTCACGTTGAACGAAGATGGCAGGAATTTCCACATGGATATCCGGTGCTCATCAGGATGATCATGCTCAGGCTCAGGCACTTTGGTCTGCTTGGCCTTCTTGCTGGCCTTCTCAGAACACAACTTCAACCAACTGGTGTTCTTGCAAGACTGATTGAAAGGCAAGTCCCGCGATCTTCTCCTTCACTGTGAACTTGAACGCCATTCTTTGCTGCTCGCAAATGATTGCCTGAGAAGCCTCTGTGCACTCCCACCACCCTTTATTCTGTCCTGTCATTGGCTGTGCATCATTCTCACCTTTGCAACTGCACTCATTGTGCATGGGATTGCCTTCAGCTTGCAGACTTGCCACAAGAACCCTTTTGCATCTACAGTCAAGGGCGCCTTGGGGCGCGAGTGCAAGTCGCAAGGCCAGACAACCAGCCACGCAAGAACCCTGTTACATCTACTGTCAAGGGCGCCTTGGGGCACGAGTGCAAGTCTCAAGGCCAGACAACCAGCACGGTTGTCTGGACGCGTGTGTGTAAGAACCCGGTTACATCTAGAGTCAAGTCCGGCTTGGGGCGGAAGTGCAAGTCGCAAGGCCAGACAACCAGCAGGGTTGTCTGGACGCGTGTGCAAGAACCCTGTTATACATCTACAGTCAAGGGTACCTTGGGGTGCGAGTGCAAGTCTCAAGGCCAGACAACCAGCAGGGCTGTCTGGGCGCGCGTGCATGGATATGCTCGCGTCGCAATGACACGAGCACACGCCACCAAAAAGCAACACCAAAAAGGACTTAACACTACAAGTTCAACCTGGATAGTCTAATGAAAGAAAACAAACAACCAAGAACGGGAACTGTGTTCACAGCGGAACGCAGAACCAAACTACCACTCAGGTTAACAGTTTGCAATTGAGTTAGGGAGTGTAGTTCTCCTATTGCATGACGACAACTTGATACACCCCTCGTTGGGGGCTCACTTCCCCTCTTCGTCACTTGTGGCGTATTCTGGGCTGGCTGATGAAGAGGGTGTTTCCGGTGCTTTCACCGGTCGCGGCGGTAGCGTTTCGCCTTCTCAGACAATACATGCAGCTTTCAGCCTACTACTTGCAACAGTGCACTTCTTGCCTTGTGAGTGGTCCATTTCACTCCATGAAGTCATTAGGTCTTGCGCCCACTGAAGCTGCGTGCCGAGCGATTCTTGGTTGTGGGGGTACACCTTGTCAAGTGTATTTAAGAAGCCGGCGCTTGCAAGGGGAACCTGCGCACACAAACCTCTATATATATATATACAGATATCCACACAGTGAGTAATGCCTTCAACTGGCTCAGCTGGGCAACAATTCCGGCTTTCAATTCTTGGGCCAAATCTAGCCCTGGTTGATCTGTTCACAATCAGAAGCTCAACATGCACGAAAATCACAAAGTATCCAGTAGAGCATACCATGGTCCCCCTTTGTCAAGTCCATGCAGATCACGACGGCGGCCAATTGCTGGCACAGCTCGTCGAACCTGACATTGCAAAACCAAACGCGCTGCGAGGTGCGCAGTGGCAGTGGACGATGAACGCGCCGCCCAGGCTTTGGGTGTGGTTCAATTTGTGGAGAGTCCTCTGCGTCAGCCTGTGGCAACAAATTACATTTGGTCATTTTCCCTGTGCTTTTTGTTTTTTAGGCCTTCGACTGTTCCTCCAAGACTTTGTGCATCTTGTTCTCGGCTTCTAACTGTGTCGCAAACCTGCCGATGTCCTTCCTCTTCTGCTTTCCGACACCTGTTCACAACCAATTGCGGGGGGCGCGCGATCAGGCTCGAAATGGGGCCCTTACTCAGGCGCACTCTCCACTTCTTCTCATTTCTATCCCACGCGACACCGGGCACCTTTGATTTGGGGCCATCCGCTTTCTTCGCTCTCTTCATGGCTCCGCGTGGCATGACAAACAAGGTCAACAACAAGATGGCAATGGCCGAAGGCAAGTGCACAATTCCAATCTTTCAGGACCTCTGATATCATGTGCATATCATCGACCATTCCAATCTTTAGGAGCTCTGATATTAGCCACCATTTCTTGTCCAGCCTAATGGTATTCCGAACAGGGAGATAGAGAGGACTTGCAAAGTGCCGTACCTGAGTACTGACAGGACACAGCCAACTCAAACTGTGGCTCCTTTGCCGTGGATGCAAACAGGATCACATCGCCCACAGAGATTACTGATTCATCTGCATTCTGGCTCTTGCGGGCAGCGCTCATGGCCATCCAAGCTGCCACGCGGGAGGTTCGGGTGCCAGACACTCCACTCAAGTGCCTCAAGGCCTCAGATTTATAGAATTATGTTTTCACTGTTTTCAACAGACTTGTCATGAAGTCCTGGTCTTGGCCTACATTCTTCGGTAAATTAGGGGTTCCCTAGAAACTCCTCAAATTGTGGTCTTATAGAATCCTGTGTTCTGGGGTTTGTATGGAATCCTGTTCACCCTTTGTTTTTTTGTCTTTTTCCTGTATTGACTCCAACTTGAAACCCTGATTCTTTTTCTAACATGGGAGTCGGATTCTTCAATATCTATGATAGTGCAGCTACAGCAGCTACAGGAAAAGATACTTGCCGTACAGCCGGGGACTTTCTAGTGCGCTGCCTATTGCCTTTCGCCTCACTCCTCGGAGTGCTCGGGGGCGAGCCCTTCCGGAGATTGAACACGTGGGCGAGCTACTGAAGCACATTGAACCACATGTTAGGGTCCAACATATTGCACGATATTTACCATTGCAAAGAAGCGCGTCATGATTGACTCCAAGACGCTTGCAAAGGAAACTGCTATCAGGCAATAGGCAACACATGCCGTTGAAAAGAGATACTGGCACTATTTGGAACTTTCCAAAAAATGCTACAGAGTCACAATGTTCTCCCATTTGTTACATGTGTTGGTTTCAGGGCAGTTCCAACTGGAGGCAGTTCTCCGTCTCAGCTTGTTGTTTTTGGTGTTTTTTTACCCACATTGATGTGTGTGTGCTTTTTTTTAAGTGCTGTATCCGCTCGGCCTTCCTCCTCCTCCTCCTCCTCCCACCGCCCGTCCTCCAACCTCCAACCACCAACCAGCCACCAACCACCAACCAACAACCACCAACAACCAACCACCACCAACCACCAACCACCAGCCACCAACCACCAACCACCACCAACCACCAACCACCAACGACCAACAAACCACCACCAACCACCAACAAACCACCACCAACCAACAGCCACCAACCACCAATTGTCCGCTCCTGTGTCTGGTGAAGTTGTTAACATGTGGGGTTCTCCGGTCCTATAATGTTTATGGTTTTGTGGGTCAAGGGATGAAGGGATCAAAACATGGACCAAGCCACTACCCAACGTGAACTGGAAAGGAACAAACACCTTCCAAACCCTCAGCTGGTGCGTGAACTGGGCAAGGGTTCAGCAAGAACTGCACAAAATTCGAGATGCCCCAACCATGTTGACGGATGTTGACGCAGGAGCGCCCTTGGATGGCGAAGACTAATTATTTGGGGCTCTTCAGGCGTCTACCAGGATGGTGGAAGTCTCTGCAAACGATAGGACTTTGCTGAGATGTGCCCCCACACCCCGAAGTCAGCCAGAGCTTCTATAGATCTACTAGCAAAGCTATTTCTGAAGCATCAGATTCGGCCGATTCGACTTCCTGAGGCTCCCAGGCTCTCAGTTTAATGGAGTCCATAATCTGCTCCTTCCAGGCTGTCCAGTTGGACCTCACGACAGGGCGTGGTGAATCAGCGGTCGGGCGTGGCGTTTCTTTCTCGGGCGTAACTCCTCTGGTTGGCGACCGCCAACAAACAAACAGTGGGTATATGGGAAGGTAGACGTGAATCACAATAGATATTTTTGGCTCCCGATCTTATAGACATGCAAGTTTTTTTGCGACCTGCCCATGATGGGACATGCAACCCAAATGATAGACCAAACTCAATGCCAATCTACTTGAGGCGTTCGATGGGTCAGGCCACTTTGCTGAACCTAAAAAGACCTCGACCCTTGACCCTTCTCTCGCTTCTCTTCTTGATGACTTACACGGTAAGTGCAGGGTACCGTCCAGGGTACCTGAGGGTCTATGTGGCTGGACTCGACTTTTTGGAGGGATCTCGGGAACCACTTGGCATATCGATCGCCACGAACGAAGGAGTGCTTCGCCACGAACCCATGGAAACGCCTTCCTCTCCGTCTTCGGTCGTGACGTGTTTCTTGTCTTTTTCAAATGCACGTTCAATATCGTTCAATATCGATCCAGGGGACGGTTTTTCCACGAGCGAAGGAGTGCGCCACTGGCTCCTCACTCCAATTTCACCCATTAACCCTTATTGGACCTTGTAGGGCTGTATGGCTGTGTTGCTCCCAGAATTCTGGGTCACTGCAAGGGACCTGCGGGTGACCGGCTTCACCCTGCTCTCCGTTCGAACCTGAGGTGGTGGTTCCTCAAATGCATCCTCCAATGGTCTAGCTAGTCCAGCTGCTTCGCAGCAGAGGTTTCCGATGAAACCTCCATGCACATCCATCACCCCTACACAGATTTCTTCGTTCGCACCTCATGTGTCAGGATCCACTCACCTCCACCTTGCAACAAAACAAACCTGAAACAAACCTCACCTCCCACGTTTTCCGGTCCAGCTCGGGCGTCGGCTGGGCGGTGTGAGCTTTGGCCCAGTTCACCGCCAGAACGCTATGAATTCGCAGGATCCGCTCCTGCAAACTGCTCGGGTGCCGTGTGTAGACACAGCCGCCCAGGGTGCCGTTGTGCACAGCGGGGCCTTCAAGGGCCTTCACAGGCCGCCTTTTGGGGTCGATGGAGGTTGCCAGTGTGGAAGAGTTTTGATCGAGGTTGGGTGACATTGGTTTCGGTGGGACACCAACGAGATCTTTGTATGAAACAACTACCAGAAAAACAACCACGCCTTTCCATGCCCTGTTAACAAGCCTTAAGATGCTACAAAACTGTGTTTCATGATCTCATGTATTTCCATGTCCTCTTTGGAGCTGCGGGATCTTACTGCACTTGGCGCGATGGGACACAGTAAGGCTGCTAGTTTTGTAATCCTGACGGAATCAACACTCTCCAGTTGAACTTTGGCATAAGAACTTATTGGACCGCTACCAAGAGGAAACACACCTACTTACCAGTGCTGGGTCTCAAGGACCAACACCACCTCTTGCCGCCGACTCGTTCACCGTCCAAGCCACCGGTCTGCAAACCGGGTTCGGCGCCTGGATGTCGGGATCCGGTTCAATCACCACATTGGCCATGCAAGACTCCTTGCCACCTGCCACGCCGCGGGAGCTCCGGAGCTGGCGGTGCCCGCACCCCCGAACCGTCCGCAGCAAGGAAAAGGGCGGGTTCTGCCTGGCAAAGGTCAAGATCCAAAGGGTCTGAAGGGGGGTCGGAATCATACTGAACCCTCCAAAGAACTCCGGAAACCTATCCATACCTGTCCATACACCTATATATTCACGAGGTATGTGGAAGCTTGTGTTCTCCCCACGCAAACCATGACTTTCTTGCTTGAAACAATTTCAGAAGCTTCCCCAACTTCTCGCCCTTCCACCCACCTTTTCCCACCCGAACTCGCTGCGCGCCGCCGCGGCCACCGGGTGAAACACATTCTGCACCTTCGGTGTTGGGGTCGAACTTGGCGCCCGCGATGTTGAAAGTGATGACCCGAACCGTGCTTCGGAGCCTCGGTTTCGCCGTGCGTGCGATACTTGTTTCTTTTGGTGGTTCTATTTGGCTGGGCGGTTTCTATGGGCATCGCTGGTGGAGGCAGGGGCCGGGGTGTTCTGAAAGGTCTGGGGTGATAAGGCGGTTTTCCGGGCTGTGCAGCAAACAGCAGCCTACATAGTTCCACTCCGGTACAAAAGGCTCAGGGACAGGCATACGGCCAGTGTTTAGTGTTTGCGACATTTCTTTAAAGCAACAATCATGGTAAGACTGGTAAGAGACCCGTATGGGTAAAGCGTTGCCATGCGTTGCTTGTCTGCATCTGCAGATGTCAGCATTGATTTGAAGGTTCGACTCCTCCCTGGTCCGCTTTCCATTTCTTCTTGTCCAGGAGTTTCAAAGGGGTGCTTAATGGAGGTTGGGTGTGCCCATTATGTTCCACTCACTTAGCTAAAACCCACCCCTTTGTGACTCCTGGGCTGCTGTGTTTGAGCGTTGTTCTTTTGGCCTCTGTGCTCGGAGTGTGACGAGTAAAATGTTTAAATGCCGGAACGGCGGAAACATCATCTGCCCATGCTGAAAGCAAGTTGAAACGATTGTATACCAGGACCCTCCAACAGGCTGTTTTGGGACACTAACAGGTGGTTTCTGGGCACCTGTTGTCAGGAAACACCTGTTGGAGGGTGCTGGTAGTGAAGCATCAGTGGCGGTTAGAATCCATGTTGAGGTTCAAGAATACCCGCCCATCGGTCGATGCATACGAAATTGTGGAGGATTTGGAATGGACGGGGCCAGATCAATGCCAGGCGCATCGGAAAGAATCTAGGGATTGAAGCTTTCTCAACCATCGAGTAGGAAAACCTTCAATGGATCCTTAATGCCATCAAGGAAATTAGATACACTAGGTCTAGACAAGCAAAACATGCCAATTCGACCAGCATGTCTTTGGGCGCGCCCCACTGGCATCGTCCAGCCGGCAGGATGGTCAGTGGGATGGTAGCCACCATCTGACCGTGCTCGAACCTCGCGAAGGGACAAATCGACCAGGTTGTCGGAGGTTGAGGTCGAGCTTGCTTGGGAGCGGGTTTCTAGTGTCTTACCTCATTCAAGGATACAAGAAGTCAAGGTATAGGTCAAGGTCAAGGTGCTTTGTCAAGAAAAAAAAGAAACAAGTGGACACGTAAACCACACATGGGCTTTCCTATTCCCTTCACCTCGCCTGCCAAAAAGGTTGAGCTTTGCTGTTGTTCTTCATGGCGGGGTGCAAGCTCATACCAACCTCTGACCCCTTTTCATCGCTTCCCTTGCCCCCTTCGGCAACTGGTCAATGTCAGATGCCAGTCAAATAACTCCCTCCAAATGCCCTGCTCGTGGAGCAGACGGAGACTGGGTGCTGAGCTTCCTGCCATGGCCCTCAGTGCTCGACGCGCGTTCTCGCGCTCCGGGCCGCCGGCCACATCCAGTTGGCACTAGGCTGCCGGACTCTAAGATGCCATTTCCAGCGACGTAGTGCGTGGAGGCCTCCAACAAACACGTCGGGTTTGGCCAATGTGCTCCGCCCCAAACGATGAATCATAGACCAAAGCATGCCAACGGGCTCTACCCTGCAGGAACAACTACAGTAGTTATCAGGGTTTCTGAATGTGCGCAGAATAGATTGGCCCATCCATTCACCATCCTTTGGGAGTGACTACGAACATTAGTTACTATAGTATTATAGTACTGTATAATATATGCTTTCATGATTGCTTCATCGAAAGTGAATGGACAACGTCCTGGCACGAGGTCCTGGAAGAACTCATAACACGACCGACTTCGCAACCGAAGCACTCCAAAAACAGATCGGTGTCAAACATTTTTGGACACAAACCTGTTACCACCAGGAGGGCTCCTGCTCAATTCTCCATGTCCCTCTTCATGCGGTGAAACCGCTGCAAACGCCCCACTCAGGTCAGTCCGCAGGTGCCTTGGCAGTGTTGTCCTCTGTGCGCCAGGAGCAGGCGACCTGACCGATGCAGGTTGACCGGTGAGACCGGGGGGTCACCAGTGAGACCGGACTCTTCACCGAAATATCGGGAGAGTAAACATATATTCGATTAATGCTTGGCCAATCATCTCTTTAACTTATGGCAATTTTCTTAAATAAATTCATGATAGAAATTGCTGAGGAACACATATATTTCAACCTGTTCTTCAATAATATAATATATGGCCAAGATACGAAGATAACGGGAATCATATAAGCCACTGAATTTTACCATAGCTTTTTCATCTTAAATAAATTCAATGGCATATATCATTTCATAACATATATTTAATATAGGGTTAGCAATGATCTCTTAATATACATTATTGCTAACCCATCATACTAATTATAGCATATGGCCTACATCATAATTTTTAGATTAACATGCTGTATCACTGTATCATTTGATAATAAAGAACAACACCAAATATAGAACCTGCATCTTTAATTAACAAATTTGCTAATAGAAAAGATGCAGGTCATTGATTAAGAGATATCAGCCTTGTTTTTAAATTTTGTGCTATTTTTATATAAAATGGCTGATGATAATAAGAGAGAATGAACGACTGCAATTTATTTATTGATGATTTTATCTTTGGCAGTCATTCCCCCATCATTTTAATTAGTTATGTTGTATCTTATCCGAATTAAGATGGGGTCATTCATGTTTTGCAACCGACCTCCCAGCAGACCTCTGGACTTTGGGAAGAACATTGACAAGCAAGTAGCTTCAGCGGTTGAAGGGTCGAGACCCATTTTTCATCCACGCCCAAGTAAAGATCATACACCAGCTTCTTCAAAGTGACCTTTTGAAGGTTCCTAAGTGACCCTTAGGAGACTTAAGTGACCTCAAACCAGGTTATCAAAAGGTCACTTTGAAGAACCAGGCATGTGATGATCATTACCCCGTTACGGACGTCAAGAGACTTTTCATCTTTTGCCGGCCTGTACAGCATGGCGCCGGGCCATGCCCGTTATATACTTTGGTGAGGGGAACCTCTATTTTCCTCCAATATCCTGGATAGCTACTAGCAACCCCAGTGGATCCAGTTACCACTATATTTAGTCCCAGGTCACTGGTTCCATTTCGACGCACCATTCCGCGTCCAAACGGCTCGCGAAGTTGCCCGGGGTGTTCAGGACCAGGTTATATATATA